TCAAACAAACAAACAAAAATAATCTGTTTAATTCTAGCTTTGTTTTTTATCAACATTTGAATGTAGGTAGGTTTCATAAAAAAAGCAACATTTTGAACAAAAAGGCGGGGAAAGAGTTAAAGGTGATTTTTAGCTGGTGATTGATATATAATGCAAGTCAACGTGTTCCATCACTTTGGGAGTCAAAAAAGCAGGTACAGGAAGCACAGAATTAATTCCAGTGTCTCGTGACGATATATTGAGGTCTTATTAAAGGGTTAGTTCAACCAAAAATGAAAATTACTACTTTTTTGACTTTCTTCTTTCAGACAAATCCAATTAGAGTTAAATTAAAAGCAAGCTTTATAATGGCGATGGGTGGGTGTTTTTGTTCAACAGTCCAAAAGAAGCCCAATAAAGCACATCCATCCATAATAAAAAGGGCCCCACATGGCTCCGGGGGGTGAATAAAGGCCTCCTTTAGCGAATTGATGCGTTTTTGTATGAAAATATCCATATTTAAAAATTTAAAAAACAGTTTTCTTTAGCTTGTGCTAACTGTCATACATGCTTGTAACAAAGTTTGTAGTTCGGGAAGAAGGAGGCGGGAACCGGCGAACATTCAAACAAAACTTTAATAATAAAATAAACACAAAATAGTGCAACAGCCCCTCGCGGACGACTGTCACGCACAAACTGAACCAAAACACAAAATAAAATCCAGGTCGTCACTCCTCCTTTTATCCTTTCGGAGCTCCTCCGTGGGACTCGAGACCGGTGAGTGGCGCAGGTGTCGTGCATTCTCACTTACTCCACCGGCCTCGCTCCGTTCCCACGGCTCTCGGCCCCGCCCCTCTCGCCACATTCCCCCCTCCCCCACTCCGGGGGAGCCGATCACGGCTGGGATCGGCGCCGCCCCTCTCGCCACATTCCCCCCTCCCCCACTCCGGGGGAGCCGATCACGGCTGGGATGGAGGGATGGCAGCCGTCCCTCCACATCCCAGGCGGCCGGCAGCGAGTTCGTCCGCCCCCCGGCAACTGACTCCATCCCACCGCCTCAAGCGTCCATGGCAGCAGACTGCTCCGCCATGCTCGATGGCACCGCGGATTCACCACAGCGGCGAGGGATCTCTGGCAGCGTGTCCCTCCTTCCTCCCGGGTTCCGGCACCAATGTAACAAAGTTCGTAGTTCGGGAAGGAGGCGGCGGGAACCGGCGAACATACAAACAAAACTTTAATAATAAAATAAACACAATATAGCGCGACAGCCCCTCGCGGACGACTGTCGCGCACAAACTGAACCTAAACACAAAATAAAATCCAGGCCTGGTCCTCTCTCGTCCAACATTGTCGTCACTCCTCCTTTTATCCTTCCGGAGCTCCTCCGTGGGACTCGAGACCGGTGAGTGGCGCAGGTGTCGCGCATTAGCATTTACTCCACCAGCCTCGCTCCGTTCCCACGGCTCTCGGCCCCGCCCCTCTCGTCACATAGCTGTTCCGGGTGGATGACGTAGAATGTATGTGTAGCGCATGCTCCAGTGAGAATATGCTAGTCTCGCGAGAACCAACGTTTGTTTACAGGAGCAAAGGAAGCAAAGTTTCCTTACTTTAGCAAAGGAAAACCAATCTCTTGGCTTAAATCAAAATTCTCATTTTGTACTTCTAATTTGTGACCGGTGTTTTGTTTGGCTCTCTTCTCTGCGCTTCCGTGTTCGTCACGTCTCACCGGCGCATGTACTACGCATACGTCCTACATCATCTGCCTGGAACGGCTTGCGTGTATGACAGTTAGCGCAAGCTAGAGAAAACTGTTTATAACGTTTTAAATATGGATGTTTTTCTTACAAACCCCCCCCCCCCGGAGTCATGTGAGGCACTTTTTATTATAGATGTATGCACTTTCTTGGACTTCTTTTGGACTGTTGAACAAAAACACCCACCCACTGCCATTATAAAGCTTGGAAGGACAGAACATTTTTTAATATAACTCTGACTGGATTCGTCTGAAAGAAGAAAGTATACACCTAGAATGCCTTGAGGGTGAGTAAATCATGGGCTAATTTTCATTTTTGGGTGAATTAACCCTTTAAGTGAAATGGTAGGTCTGTGCAATAAACTGAATGTTACATTATTACCTGTAGTCCACAGCCTCAGGCAAACAGTTATGGAGCATGATGACGTATGCCTTGTAAATCATGCGTGAACTGATGCCATTTACATTCGTCCTCTCTCTCTGTTATAAAAAATTCAGTGATTTCAGTTCACTTGTGATTCACTGTGCGTTTCTTTGAACTATTCTTTTAAGCAGCACAACTTTTTTCAACACTAAATAACTAAGAATGGAGTAATGATGCTGAAAATTCAGATTTACATAACAGGAATAAGTTACATTTTAAAATATATTAAAATAGAAAACAGTTATTTTAAATTGTAATAATATCCACAAAATTATTGTTTTTAAAAAATCTTACCAAACTTTTGAACAGTAATACTCTTCTCCCAAATGAACCCAAACAAGCAGCTAAATTTTATTTAAACATGATTCCTATTCATTTGAATCTGATCTAAATTTTTTTGGACAGCATTATTGTAAATTATAAGTGTTTTGCCTCTAAAAAAAACCTATACTAACCCCATTAAGAAAGTAATGATTTTTCACAAAGGCACTTTCATGCCTTTATTCAATGTGTGCTCCAGCCTCCCTCACTGCACTGCACTGCACATAACTTTTCTACATGTAGTTTAGCATTTTATAATTAACTCCACTAATTCACTCCTCAGTAACTCTTGTTTGAATAAGCTGCCAAGTTCTAGATGTGCTATACACATATGGATTTGTTCTCCGTTCATATTGTAATCATGCCAGATTCATTGTGTGCATTTGAGAGATCAGAGCAGGCTTGAGGCGTTGGGCACCTGATCTAATCAGAATAATCATCATGTAATAATGTCAACAATAACCTGAACATTTCATTTACATAAGCAGCTTGTTCATTTTGTTCTGGTACTTTATCAGGCTTGAAAATATAATTCAAGCATTCGTCATTAGCCTAGGGCTTCAGTTTATACTAAGATATTAACTTTAATTAGTAGCAATTAGACGGCGTTGCAGAATAAAAGGCATTGATCATAACTGTTTATTCCGTGCAGGTCTCCGGGGAGGTAGTTAGCCAAATGAAAGCTGCAAGACTAGCAGACTCAGCCTGCTGTCATCATAACAACCCTGCAAGGGTTTCGCTTTTTTCTGATGCTCTTGCAAAATGATTTGCGCTGTTCAACTCTTGGCTTTTTTTGTTGTTGCACAGTACAGAGACACATTGTTGTGCTCAAGTGCACTAACACAGAGCGCAGACCATTTCAGACATCGTTCGATTAGCGCCTGTTGCTCTTCGTGTGTTTTGTCTGGTGATAATCTCAATGTGTTGTAGCATGTCAAGCGGTTTCCTGTCCATTGCATCGTGTTGCTAAGCATGTGCACGCTCAGCCTCCATGTGAAGTGCCGTGAGTCCACAGAGAACTTCAGCCGCTTTCATATGGAAAGTGATTGCATGAAGTGTTTATCTGTGTGGTCTGAGTATTCTCTGTGTCACTGTGTACAAAAGCTAAAGGGTAGTAATATGTTCACTTTAGGTACTAATATGTACCATTTAGGGATAAATGAGAAACAAAGTTGTACCTTTTAGCTTTTGTATCATAGAGTACCGCTTCAGTGACAATTTTGTACTTTTTTTCTGAGAGTTCAGAAATGTAATGGTCCTGTTCTCTGCAGATTGTGAAGGAAGTCATTACTTACAGCATTTTATTTAATTTTTTAATGTTGTTATTAATAAAACTCAAGTTTTTTTTAAGAACTCATTCTTTTTAAGATGATAATGCACTGCAAAAATCATTTTTCAATCAGTGTTTTATCTTGTTTTCCAGTATAAATATCTAAATGCCCTTAAAACAAAATAAACTTTCTTGATAAGCAAAATGATTGATAATAAGTCTTCTTTGCTAATTACTAACAATTTGCCAAAGGGGTAATAAAAACTAGAGGTGGACCGATAGTGGATTTTACCGATACCGATAACTAGGTTACCGATAACTACATTGGCTGATAACCAATTAATCGTCCATTGACGAATGTGAGGACTGGAACAGGCAGATGACTGAGTTTTTAAAATTCATACTGAATGAAAACTAAAACAGTGCTGAAATTAATTAAAAACCAATATTAAAAAACAATACTGAAAGTAAAGTAAATTAAAAAAAAACTGTACTAAACCATACTTTTAAAATAGAATAAAAATATTTATACAAACAACATCAGCCAGGATGTCTCAGACATCCAGTCAAAGTATTTAGGAGTTATACGTTACCTTATACGGTAGGAAAGAAATATAATCGCTGATTATAAGGTGTAAGTAAAATGTGCATATGTATTTGTCAAGCTGTCTGGTTTCAGTTCCACACCCCAAATGGCATCAGCACAGTGTGAATGTGTAAAAGAGGAAGTACATAAAGTACATATGTTTGAGAGAAAAAGGACTCAGATAACTTTTGTGCCAGCAATTGACTGTCGGTGCCGATTAATCGGCATAACTTATTAATCATTGACCTCTACTAAAAACACATTTTCCTTAAAGATTAATTGTCTGAAAATAAAAAAAGACTTATCTTGAACAGTTTTGCTTTTCAAGTAAATTCTGATTTTTTATTATTATTATTAATAAAAGTTCCCTTTCAGTCACTCTCGATGTCACGTCGGATGACCGACGAAATTGGGATCTCGCTTAGAGGGACCAATCTACTTCGAGTGTAAACTAAACGAGCCAATGCACATTATTGCATCCAGCTGCTGCTGATCACAGCGTGAGTATAAGTAGGACACCTCACTTTGTAATATTTCATTTTTAGCCCATATGCTTATTCATTAAACAAATGTATTTAATGTGCAGTGCTTTTATTCTCAATAACAGAGGACTCCTTCTAAAGGACTGCTTTGCCTCTTTATGTTGTTTTGTCTGTGTTCTTTGCAGGCCTCTTGGACTCGACCCGAACAGCACAAGGTAGAGATTCCGTATCCATGTCTCCATAAACTAAATTATGAAGATAGCCATCAACTCCATAAACCTCTTTCTTTCCCATCAGATCAAATCTCTGAAATCTCATCAGATCTGTCAACTGAATTACGATGACAGCTTGGTTTAATATGAGAGTGGAATGATGTAGTTTTAGTTTTCGCTTTCTATATTCAGTGCATGGCCTCTTTTCCATTCTGTATCTAATCAATTAAGTCATTATGACATCATTTTTCTTTTCATTATGACATCATAAGACTGCATTCTTGAAGGGTTCATATTTTGATAAAGCTTTATAATGTCCTTTTTAGTGTTATGTGATTCTTTTTTTTCTCTTTTAAGTAATTGATGTTGCACAAAGTGCTTTTGTTGTTGTTCACACTGAGACTTTTCCTTTTCCATCCTTACAAAAATAGACATTTGAGGAAACCACCTCCATCCAAGCTTTTCAGAGGGCTGGTGTGCATTATTAAAAAGACCTTTCTGCTGAAAACTGTGGCTCTAAAACTTTAATGATATGGCGTTCTCATGTTGCAAATGAATAAATAGAGCCTTATCTGAGAAGAATGGGAGATAAAGTCTGTTGAATGTGCTGATTGAAATGTATAGCTGTTTGTCATAGAGATTCAGTGTTACGGACCGCGGTCTGACCCCAATACCACATAGTAACCAGATTCCAGTGACGGGAGCACGTCCCATGGCACAGGGGGTCACGGTCTGGCCATTTGAGCACAGCAGACAGGGAAAACTGTGGGAAAGAGGGCCGGAAATGGGCTGGACGGGGCTCAGCGCTCCCATTAGGAGGTTATTCAATTAGCCCAGTCAGCTCTGCTGGGTGGCTGTTGGGTGGTTTTTGGATGAAAAGGCTCAGCATTATGTAAGCGTGACTCAGTCCTGGGACAACACCAGCATTATTATTGTCTCTGAAACGATGCTTCTGCCGAGTTCATTCATAGCGAAGTTTGTGCGAGGGGCAACGGCTGACCAGAAATATAGAGAGAGGAGTTTTTTCAGTTCCAAGTGGAGCGGGGAATACTAATGTTGTGCTTGATGAAGCCTTCGAAACTTCAATGCATTTCCTGTCCTCATTACCGTCCTGTCTGAGATTGTGTGTGTGTGTGAAAGAGAAAGCGAGTTCATTCCATCCATTCTTAGATCTGTTCAGCCCTAGTATTCCGTGTAATGCACTGCAAATAGTCTTTGTCCCTAATGAACGATATTTGAATAGCTGTTACAAGTCACTTCGTTTTTCTTTCTTTTTATACATTTTTGTATCACTACGCGCTAGATCTCGGCACTCTTTGCTGTTCTGTCTTACTGCTTTTTAGTACAACATGATCGCAACGCTGTACACCAGGGGTGATAAAGTCATTATTTTGGACTAAACGCAACTTTATATATCATAAATATATATTATATGAATAAAAATTAATAGTAATAATTATATGTAACATAATAGTCAGCAGTGTTGGAGAGTTACTTATAGTATAGCGTTACAATATTGCGTTACTCCATTAAAAAGTAACTAATTGCATTGCTTAGTTACTTTTTATGGAAAGTAATGCATTACGTTACTTTTGCGTTACTTTTTGTTTCCTGGGCTGGGCTTGCTTATTTGTTTTTTAATAACAAAAAGCTAAAAGTTGGCAACAGTTAAGGCCATTTCACACCTCACTCTCAATTTGTCTCAAAACAGGACAGTAATGCATTACTTTAGTAGTTGCTTGAAAAAAGTAAGCTGATACTGAGCAGCTCAACATTTTAACATTAATAATAAGAAGAAATGTTTCTTGAAATAGTATTAAGAAATAAATTACATTTTAAAACATAATGAAGTACAACATAGTTATTTTAAATTGTAATAATATTTCACAGTAGCTGTTTTTTTTACCAAATGCAGCCTTGGTGAGCATAAAGGATGTCTTTCAAAAGCATTAGAAAAACCCCAAACTTTTGAACAGTAGCAGTATGTGTGTGTATATATATATATATATATATATATATAATCTATGTTTTGTGTTG